CTCATGAAACACCGAAGAGGGGAGCCCCTTTGTGAAGACGTCGGCAAACTGAGATGTAGTTGGTACGTGAAGCACTTTCGCCTCGCCGAGTGCCACACGATCACGAACAAAGTGTAGATCGATCTCCACATGCTTCGTCCGTTGGTGCTGAACGGGATTGGACGACAGGTACACGGCGCTGACATTGTCACAATAGACAACGGTGGCACGGCGAGGGGGACGATGAAGCTCGCCAAGTAGTTGTCGAAGCCAGCACGACTCCGCCGCGCAATTGGCGACGGCACGGTACTCGGCCTCGGCACTGGACCGGAACATGGTGTGCTGCCACTTGGACGACCAGGAGATGAGGTTAGCACCGAGGAAAATGCAGAACCCGAAAGTGGAGCGGCGGGTGTCGGGACAACCAGCCCAATCGGCGTCACTGTAGGCAAGAATATCGTGGGACGAAGAGCGGTACAACTGCAAGCCATAGTGAGTCGTACCACGGAGGTAGCGAAGAACACGCTTGAGGAGCTGATAGTGGACATAGAGTGGGGCGTGCATGACGAGGCAAAGCTGCTGGACGGCGTAGGAGATGTCGGGACGCGTCAAGGTAAGGTACTGTAAGGCACCGGCAAGACTACGGTAAAGCGTAGGGTCATGGAAAGGGACACCACCGGTGCTAGAGACCTTACTATGAGTGTCAACAGGAGTGGAGATAGGCTTGCAGTTAAGCATATGCGCACGGTCGAGGATCTCAAGCGCGTATTGTTCCTGCGAGAGGAAGAGGCCGGTGGTGGAGTGATGAACATTGATCCCAAGGAAGTGGTGAATGTCGCCTAGATCGCTCATGGAGAACTCGCCGGAGAGAGATGTGATGAGAGACTGAAGCAGGCTGGTGGTGTTGGCAGTAAGAATAATGTCGTCAACATAGAGAATAAGATAGGCAAGGGCATTCCCACGGCAGAGAATGAAGAGGGAGGTGTCACACTTGGACGATACAAAGCCAAGCGTGTGGAGAAATTGGGTAAACCGAAGAAACCAAGTGCGGGGCGCCTGCTTGAGTCCATAGAGAGACTTGTTTAGGCGACAAACATGTGTAGGGCGAGCCGCATCCACAAAGCCCGCGGGTTGCAGGCAGTAGACGGTCTCAGCCAAATCGCTGTGAAGAAATGCGTTCTTGACGTCCATCTGCCGGATGGGCCACCCATTAGCCGTCGCAATGCTGAGGACGACACGGATAGTGGCCGGCTTGACCACGGGACTAAACGTCTCCCCATAGTCGACGCCGGCCTGCTGCGTGAAGCCGCGCACCACCCACCGAGCTTTGTACCGCGCCAAGGTGCCGTCCGGATGAAGTTTGTGGCGGAAGATCCATTTGCCGGTCACCACGTTCACACCTGCAGGACAAGGAACCAGAGATCAAGTGTCATTCCGAATTAGCGCATTAAACTCATCTAGCATCGCGGCGTGCCAGTGCGGGTCCTTGAGGGCTGCTCGGTACGAGGATGGCAAAGGAGAGGGAGTGGTGGATACGTGAAGATCAAGGATGTCCTTGGGCATGGCATAGCCAGTTTTGGCTCGGGTCTGCATCGGGTGAGGGTTAGCAGGCGGTGCAACAGGGACGGCGCGGGCTGGTAGGGGCTGATCAGGTGGCGTGGACTGGTGAGGCGAAACAGAGGCAGGGGAGCCACGCAGATCGAGCGTGCATGGGGGGGATCCCGAGAGCGAGACGTGCGGTGGAGTGCATGGGGAGGAGCCCGAGAGATCAGGGGCTGGCGGGTTTGTGGGAGTGGGGCCTGGCGAGGGACCAGGTCGGGCGGGCAGGATTGGCGAGAGCGCGGGTGGGCTGGCGGGGCGGGTGCGATCGAAGGAGGCGGGGACAGTTGGCGCACGGGGAAGGGTGGGTACGAGGTACGGATAACGAGGGGCGGCTCCGGATTTTCTACAGCGGGGGATCCTGCGAGATCAGAGAAAGGAAACGAAGATTCATCAAATACCACATGACGAGAAATAATAACTTTGTGCGTGGATAAATCCAAACAGCGGTAGCCTTTTTGTTCACGGGGGTACCCGAGGAAGATGCAACGGGCAGAGCGAGGGGAGAGTTTGTGAGCAGCGGTAGCAGAGATGTTCGGGAAGCAGAGACACCCGAACGTGCGTAGGTGGTCGTAGGTTGGGTGGACGCCGTAGAGGAGAAAATGAGGGGTGAAATGATGAATGGCGCGAGACGGACGTATATTGAGAAGAATGGTGGCGGTGTGCAAAGCTTCTGCCCAGAAGGAAGGAGGAAGCGAGCTTTGGAAGAGGAGCGTGCGGACAACGTCATTGGTCGTGCGGATATGCCGCTCGGCTTTCCCATTTTGTGGAGAGGTGTGGGGGCAGGTGAGACGAAAGGAAACGCCGTTAGAGGAGAAGTAGGCGCGAAGAGCGGTGGTGAGAAATTCGCCGCCATTGTCACACTGCACACATCGAATAAGTACACCATATTGGGTAAGGACAAACTGAAAGAAACGGAGAAGAACATCACAAGTTTCAGATTTTGCACGAAGAGGAAAAGTCCACGAAAAATGAGTATAATCATCAATAATCATAAGATAATACTTGTAGCCTGAGCAACTCACAACCGGTGATGTCCACAAATCACAATGAACTAAATGAAATGGGGCGGTGGTGTAGGAGGTGGAGGAAGGGAAAGGGAGGCGTGTATGTTTGCCAAGTTGGCATGCGGTACATAATGGTGATTTGCGGGCATCTTTATTACAAGTTTTGAGGAAATCTAAGGAAAAAGGGGAAAAGGAGGAGGAACTCGGGTGCCCAAGCCGCCGGTGCCACAAGTCATGTGTGGAGATGGTGAAGGCCGACGATGGTGCAGCGCCATTGGTGCCGGAGAAGGGATAGAGATCGCCTTCACTGTTGCATCTCAGAAGAACTTCCTTGGTGGCTAGATCCTTCACGGTAAAACCAGCGGGGTTAAATTCCACAAAACACAAATTATCGCGAGTAAATTTGCGGACGGAGATAAGATTCTTAACAATATTAGGAGAAAGTAGAATGTGACTGAGATAGAAGGGGCGAGGTGGGAGATGAGCAGTACCAAGGGCAAGTACAGGGAGCCGAGCTCCATTACCGATGATGATATGACATAAGGTGCTAATAAGGGACGAAACGAGGTCAAGGTACCTGGGTCCCCGGAGACATGCGACGCGGCACCTGTATCCATGATCCACTCGGCAGCATGGGGCGAGAAGGCGGTGCCGTAGCTGGGCGCAGCGTGGTAGAGGGCGCTGGCGTCCCATGAGAGAGGTGGTGTGCCGTACGAGGCGGGTGGAGCGGGAGTGGGCGAGGGTGCGTCAGGGAGCATCACGGGTATGCCTGCTGCGGGATGCCGGGGCGGGGGCCGAGGATGCCGGCGCTGTTGGGTGGAATCCAGGGGGCGCGCGGCGGAGGGAAGGGCATCCCCATCGGCGCGAAGTAGCCGAGCCAGGGCTGGCCTCCAGCGCCGCGCTCACCGGCTGTGTCACCGCGGCCACGGCCACGGCCGCGTCCGCGCCCGCCGCGCCCACCGTTGCGGTTGGCGCCGAGCTGTCCCACGCGGCCACCACCGCTGCCGCCGTTGCCGCCACGGTCGTCGCCGCCGCCACCGCCGTTGCCGCCGTGGCCGCCGCGGTCGTCGTGCTGGACGGCGAGGACTTGGGCGCCCTCGGCGCGAGCGCGCTTGTCCAGGGTCAGCTCGGCGAGGACGAGGCGAGAGCGCGCCTGGTTGAAGGAGGGCAGCGGCACGGTGGCCTGGAGGATGGCGGCCTCCATAGCGAACTTGGGCCCGAGACCATCGAGCATCTGCAACGTGAGGGCCCGATCCGTAACCGACTCCTTGACATCAGCGAGGGAGGCGGCGATCCCTTGCAGACGACGGCAGTAGTCGTTGATGGAGAGATCACCACGCTCGCAGCGGCGGAACTCCTGTCCCAGGTGCATGGTGTGTTCATCCTCATTGGCGAGGAAGTACTCGTGTAAGCGGCTCCAGATGGTGAAGGCAGTGGAGCCGGCGGGAGCGACGATGTCGAGGAGGTCGCCGTCGATGGTGGAGAAGAACAGCAAGACGAGGGTGTTGTCGTCGTCCCGCCAAGCAGGGTCGGCGAGACGGCGATCCGCGCCGACGCGGATATGGTCCTCCGCATGGTACCGCGCGAGCACGAGGGTGACGTAGTTACGCCAGCGGGTGAAGTTGCTATCGTCAAGAGCCAGCTTGAAATCTAGGACGCCGATGATGCTGGCTGGTATGGGAGTGGAGGGCGCAGCCGGGGGCGGTGGCACAGGGAGAGAGGCAGTGTTGGGTGGGTGGGAAGCTAGGGGAAGATCGCCAGATGCAGGGAGATCAGGGGAGAGCGATGCGCGTGGCCGCTCACCAGAAGACAGGCCGGCGGAGAGGTTTGCAGTGGCCGAGCCATCGTCGTCGCGCATGAGGGGAGGCGAGGCGGAGGGAGAGTGGGAGGAGCTGGTAGACATGGCAAGGCTCTGATTACCAATAAGAATTGTGAATCCCGCATTCATTCACTGGTACAGTTACAGGTAGATATACATGGCGTGATCCCTACATGCAGGGCCGGAAAATAATTCTATGAGACCAGGTCTCACGGGTTAGCAGGTGAGACCCATCCTGATGGATGACACGTGGCATTCACAAATCACAAAGCATTTATCTCACAAATCAGGGAGGAGAGATTAGATGCTTTGTGATTTGTGAATGTCACGTGTCATCCATCAGAGCGGGTCTCACCTGCTTTATATGAGACCAGGTTTCATATAATTTTTTTTCTGCAGGGCCACGATGGGATAGTGGCGATTGACCAGGACGCCCTACATTCTAGTATCTACTGTTACAACAGAATGACGTTACAAGGAGCTCATACAAACATACAACATGACAGTTCAACATGTCGAAGGTGGCCATGAACCGCGGGATGCACCCCCTGGTCCTGCTCGTCTACCGCAACCTCGTCGCCGCCGTCGCCGTCGCCCCCCTCGCCGCCGTCTTCGAGAGGTACGCCGTACCCACGCGCGCGTCCGGAGTTGACTGACTTTGCAGACCGGCATGCGTGGTACGTCGCCGCGTCCGTCCTTCACTCCGCCACGAGACTGACGCATGTCCAGAGTGACGAGCAGCATGTGCGCGCGCACAGGAGTATGTACTCCTACGTCCGAGAGCATGCACAACGTGTGTTACTACTGGGTGGTTTGTAGTACGAGCCACGGGCGTAGCCAGGCCGTGTTGGGGCGGGGAGGGGAAGAGCTTCGTGACCGTGGCCACAGCCGCGCTCTGTGGCTACAGTAGTAGGCTCTGTGGCTACATGGTGATGGCCCCGGGCGTATAAATATTCTGGCTACGGCACTCTGGCGTGCGTACGTTTGACCGCACCGAACGCTGTAATTCGTACGTACGTGCTCGTAAAAACCTAGCTGACCCCATCATACTTCTTTGTTCTGTTTATCTTCGGTTTGTTGTCGACTTGTGAACGTGTCTGCGCGCGCGTGTGTGTGTGAGCCAGCCCATCTCCATTGTCAATATCTTTCTGCATCTGTGCTGAAGATGAAGTCACTTCTAACTAGCGTTCCAAATGGCCCATCCACCGCCCATGTAGCTATAAGAGTAGACCACGATTTCGGTGAAAAATGGCAAGCACCGTTGCTTTTACTTCGAAGCACAGAGATGGCATGTTGACAACTCACGCACCAAGAAGAGTTCCAATCCTGGCAAAGATATGTCCAGCAAAGTAGCTAGAGGCAAAAGAAGATGACAAGAAAACATGATCTAGTCAATCCACAAATGACCCTTGTGTTTTAGCTAATCTATCATTATAATAATAATAATAATAATAAAAGAAGCCAGAAGGTAAATCTTACGTTTTTCCTTTCTTTTCAAGACCATTTGTTATATAAAAGCAGCTAGGAAGAGTTTGTCAAGGATGAGCGTGGATGGCTGCAGGGAGATGTGGATGGTTGATATCCTAGCTAGTTCATACTCATCCTTGATATCCTAGCTAGTGCACGCAGGGAGTACATACTACATATGTTTTTCAAGACCATTTGATATCTGCTCTTCTTAATTACGCCATGCGCGTCGATGGTTGCAGGGAGATGTGGAAGAAGGTGAACCTCACCGTGCTGGGCTGGATCTCCATCAACGCTATGTTCGGGTAATGTTCTACCTGCAACTCACAACTACTTCCTCTGTTCCTAAATTGAACGGCCAAAACATCATATATTTAGAAACAGGGTAGCTTGCAATGCCGGGTTTTTGGTCATGCATGCATGGCAACTTGGCAACATGGCAACTTGTGCTAGACATGAGAGTTTAAAGCCGCTGTACTACTACTCCAGTTCACCTAAAGTGAGAAATGACCTAGTTTAATTCTTTAGTTGTTGATGACCATGATTGTCGGTTCTTGGTCCAATCTCTATCTCTACCTAATATTAAAGGACGGAAACTTTCATAGTTCTCTATACGTCACCCTTCTATATCCGTTGATTCTGTGTTAGTCATAAAAATTGATGGCTGAGATTTAAAAAATAAATATACCTTTTTAGAAGCACCGGGCCTGACGACAATTTTATTCCAAGATGTATACGGCTGACACATAACCCACAGTCCATCATGGCCCTCACGTTTCATTAGTTGTCATTGAAATTGCTTACCAAGTCCGTGTCCAAGTCGTATTACACATCCGGTGCACGGGACCAATAGTTCCTACACTACACAAAGATGGATTTGCATCATCTCGCCCGAACGCAACAAACTATTCGCATCTCCCAAACTTTAAAGTTGCGCTCGTCCCTTCCACCGCACCATCGTGATTAAAATCTGGCAAATCTCAAACTCTGGAATCCTGCCCAGGGCCGCTCCGGCGAACCCCCTGTCTGTCGCCGCCACCATGTTGTGCTGCCATGACCAGAGCTGCACGTGCCCACCCGTCCTTCCTACCCGGCTTCCTCGCCCAGCAACAATACCACGGAGTGAGGGCGACGAGTACCTGTTCATGCACGAGGACATCACGGACTACGATTCGCCGCATATATTCATCCCGGCGTCACGAATCAGTGCTTGGGCCTGGCCTGTGCTCCTTGCCGTCAGACCTCCTGGACGGCGTGTGCACAATGCATGCATTCTCATCCTTGTGCGTCTCGCTGCGATTGTTGCCGGCAGCAATGTTTGCCTGGCTGTGCGCTCCACGCTTGCCAGCGGCAAATGTTACGTTGTTTCGGTCTTTCTCGGCTGCACACCAAGTCAGCACGATGCCGCCGTGAGACAACAGTTCCAAGACAGACACCCGGCGTTGTTACTCGCCAAAGTGAGCATAGAACCCTGGGCACAGCCGACGAGGAGGAGCGCAAAGCGCCTCGGCGAGCTTGCTCCTCAGACCCGTGATGATGTTGTCATCACTGAGACGCGCGCACCACCAGCAAAAGCTTTTGCGGTCGAGCTCTGTCTGCTTGAGATAATAGGTTCTGGAACCACATCTCCACCTACCACCTAGCCAGATCGTGCTTCTCACCTTGCAATGCAAAACAACCCAGTCAAAATCGGAAGCATACACCTCCTAATTTTATTATGTGCCTATGTTGATAGAAATAAAATAAGACCTGCAATTCAAATCATCAAGTATGCCACTCCGTTATGGTATTAGGAGAAGGTAGGCTTCATCCTTTTTTTTGTATTCTTTTCTTTATCTCTCATCAGCAGATCTTATCTATTTGTCCACCATGAGTGAATGAAAAACAAATCTGACTTTTATTACTTTTTCTTGCATCACCAGTTATGAAATAGAGATGCTAGACCATGGCAGTTTTTTCAAGGTACAAGATTTCTATTAACATGGAATACTTGCAGGTGTATATCATTAATTAAGAATGAATTTTGTAAGAAAATCTGGTCCTGGAAGTTTTTTGGTTGCATTACATTTAAATTTGTATTTGCACCCTTTGCATTTTCCTATACCGATTAGCCACTCCTATAAAATTCCATTGCTCATCTAAGATGAAACAAATCTGAACATTCTATTTGGCGCTTTGATTCACTTAAAAGATTATATTTGAATGATGCCAAAGTTTGCTAGATGACGAGGTGACACAGTTATATTTATAACTCTGGATAAAAATGAAATAGAAAAGTAATAAATTTCTCAAAAATTGTATATTATGAGATCTACGTAATTGGCCCATGCGAACACGGGTTGTTGACTTTTTTCATAATAAAGAAAGGCGAAAAATTCTCCCTATGTTCTATTATCCCTCTTGCGTATGGCCGGCAAATTAAGCAATTTTAGTACATCGAGTTACTTTTGTTGATCACGTCTGTAGTTCTTTTAATATGTCTGTATATAATTGTCCAGCCTGACTTTTTTATGCATATAAATAACTAGCATTACCCGTGTTAGACAGTCGTGTGCGAAGATTTGTTTCTCCTGTTGCAACGCACGGGCATTTTTGCTAGTAACAATTAAAAACAAAATTAGTTTAGTTCTATATGTATCTTTAGATAATGAGTGATTGGTCCGTTTGCAAACCTCTACCAGTTCTCCGTTACTTTAGTTAAGGCCTTGTACTACCTCCATCTTGGTTTATTGATCCTTTTCGTTTTTTGTGTCAAAAATTGATCATAAATTTAACTGACAAAATGTTAATGCATGTCATAAAAAATATATCATTGGATTCGTATTTCAACATAGTTTTCAATGATAAAAAATTTTGTGACATGCATTAGCATTTTGTTTATTAAATTCATGGTCCAAATTTGACACAAAAAAATATGAGGACCAATAAACCATGACGTACAATGCAATGCAATGCATGATGTTCTTAGGGATTTTTTAAGCGTCTACCTTCTACACATAAGCACGGCGGGTGCTTAAAGAAAAACTGGTTTATTTCTCTAAACACTCCGTACAAGGCCCTAAACAGCATATCTGAAAACAAATTGTCATGTACTAAAAAAATAAAACAATTTTTCATGTGCCAGAGAAAAATAAAATTGTCCACACTAGTTTTGGTTCTTAATATTCTGGACCGATTAACATTCTTTGTCTTGACACAAATTCAAATATATGTGTGTGTATGATCTATGATCTACTACTAGAGTTTTGCTTGCGATGGGGCTGTACTACTGGGGGCTGCGGGACACCAGCGCCGCCTACGCCGTCGACTTCCTCAACCTCATCCCCGTGGCCACCTTCCTCATCGCCGTCGTGCTGCGGGCCGAGCGCCTCTCCCTCTCCCACTGGCCCGGCAGGATGAAGCTCCTGGGCGCAGCGGTGGGCGTCGCCGGCACCATGGTGGTCAGCTTCTTCAAGGGCACTCGTCTCCCGCTGCCGCACCTCCACTTCCACGACCACGCCCACGGCGGCGCGCCGACCGCCGCGCCACACGGCACCCGCGACATGGCCGCCGGCACGCTGTGCCTGTGCGGGAGCTGCGTAAGCTACGCGCTCTGGTTCGTCGTGCAGGCCAGGGTCGCCAAGGTGTTCCCGTCCCGGTACTGGGCCACCGCGCTCACATGCGCCGCGGGCAGCCTGCAGTCCGCCGCGGCCGCCGCCGTGGCGTTCGCCCTCACCCCCACCGGCGACAGACATGGCTGGGCGGCGGAGTGGAGGCTGGGGTGGGACCTGCGCCTGGTCACGGTGGTGTACTCCGGGGTGTTCAACACGGGCGCCACGTTCGTGCTCGTGTCGTGGGCGGTGGCGCGCCGCGGGCCGGTGTACCCGCCCATGTTCAACTCGCTATCGCTGGTGGTCACCGCCGCCGTCGACGCCGTGTTTCTCGGCACCGACCTCTACCTCGGCGGTGTTCTCGGGGCGGCGCTCGTCGTCGTAGGCCTCTACGCGTTCCTGTGGGGCAAGCGCAAGGAGCTCACCGCTGCCGCCAAAGGGGACGACCGCGAGCAGGGGCTGCGGCGAGGACACACCGACGATGGCGTCGCCTAGCTAACTAGAGCGATCGATGGATTTAGCTTACCTGCTCAACCAATCGTAGCATGATACTAGCATCGTACTTACCAGTAACTTGAGAATGGACGTGGATTTTTCCTAACTAGTTGTGGGCACAACCTAAATCTTGACCGTAGATCAAGCATGATGTCCAATTGACATGGCCCACTTTGCTGTCAGGTCTGCATGCCCCATCTGTGTATACGAGCCATGTGACCAATTTCAACATACTAGTAAGTGTGCACGTGCAACGCACGTCTATTTGAACTAATAAATATGCACACGCAATACGAATCTATTTGGATTAACATATTATACTAAACTTAATACAAGACAATTTATTTATAAATTTGAAATTTCCCTATAAAGTACACGATCTCTTATTTCCAACTCGTATAAATAATTTGAAATATCGTTTCTTCTTAATCAACATGTCTCCTGTATTAAAAGACCACCCATTTTTCTCAATTTATAAAATTTAAAATTATTTAGAAGATTCATCATGATTCTTCATATGCACACATTTATGCAAGTATAGTCACACATAAAAATGTCACTAAGGACAAGCTAAGGAACCGTTTCAGTGCCAACAAATTTCAGTCAAGAATTACACAAGATCGTCATGAACATATACAGAGAGAAGTGACCTCTCTTTCTCCGAGATTGATCGAGCAACAAGTTTTTGTGTATATCTATCCGACACTACTACATATATACAATATAACATCTCTTATAATCCCTAACATCTAAAATCAATTTCAACTTCCACATGGCATTCTCCGTCTTTATGTATGACATGGTCAAGAAAGAATCCCGCCAATTTCTCTTGAATTGCTCGTATGCGATTATGTGGTATGAGTTCATTCTGCATCTGTTACATCTAATTTAAAGAAGAGGGTCAATACATATATATGAAAAAAACTCAACACAATTGATGGTAATAAAATAAAATTATGAATATTGTTTATGTACTAAATGATATGAAATTTACCATGACCACAAAATATCCTAAATTCATCATCATCATAATCAACATGCAGTTTTTGCTTCTCTTGTATGTAGTCCAAGTTTTCTATCAGGAAAACATGTTAACTCAACTGTAGATAAGGACGGTATGAAAATGCTCATGTAAAATTACAATTGCCATGTATCTGCTGGACAAACAAATACACTTATGCAAACTTCAGGTTTTTTTAGTAAAACTTATGCGAACTTTAGTTTTTTTTTTCATTAAAACTTATGCAAACTTCTAGGTTTTTTCAGTGAAACGTAATTTCATGACTGCAAGTAAGGTCTTGGTTCAGCGAATTTGTCTGTGAGTTCACTATGTAGTCGTGAGTTGGCCATGTAATAACCGGTAGTCAGTACTTAAAAAACAGAAATGTCTGTTGTAGGTACGCGAAAATCAGTGAAAAAATAAAGAAAGAAAGAAGGCGAACGTCTCTGTGTGTGCTCCAACGCTCATTTGTTTCTCATTGCCTCATCTCTAGTTCCTGTACTTCTAGATGTGTCACCACCGGTGAGGTAGCGATGACAGTAAAAAAACAACACTCGATACTTACTTGGTTAATGCGTGCGTGTGGTGCGTTCGCGTGAAGGCGAGCGTCTCCGTCGTTCAGGTCTGCGAGCGGCCGCGGCGACCGTGTCCTCTCACCAGCTGGGCGGCATTGTCGACGCAGGTGAGTCAGTCGTCCAGCTTTGAAGCGGCGGCCTCCATGCACCGGGATTAGCTTTGGACGACGTCGTCCACGAGCGAGTACCGGACAAGCGTGTCCAACAGAGCAGCACGCGTCAGAGCTGAGGGAGTCGGCGGTGGCTTCGGGCGAGTGAGATGGGGCCGTGATTAGCTTCACCTGTTGCATAGTGGTCGAGACCTGCACCGCCTTGGGGACGATGATGGTTGGCGACCAGGCGAATCTACATGCATGGCTGTGGGGGTAGATTTTTTTGGCCCGCTTATACTGGTCCAAGATACTCAGCGTTGCCCCCACTTGAAGGACCTCGGCGGTGGGTGGTTGTCAGTGTGGGTGTTGTGGATGGAGCTGAAGTCGACGCGGATGCCAGTGGTTTCCGGAGAGCATGCCCATGATGTGGACGAAGGCGTTGCAGTCAGTAGAAGTGTGTTCAGAGGAAGCCGCAGCTCCTCCTCGCGTGTCTCCCATTGTGGCTCGCGTGGGTGGTGGGCTGGTGACGGCTGGCGACTCGCGATCACGATTCCCTAATAGGAGACGATAGAATGCGCTCGCGATTAGTTTCCTAATAATTAGATGCGTTCGTGATTAGTTATCTAATAGGATGCAGCCATGATTAGTTTCCCAATAATTAGATGCGTCCGTGATTAATTTCCTAATAGGATGGCTCGTAATTATTTTTCTAATAATAGGATGTGCGCGTGATTTTTTTCCTAATAATAGGATGGGTTTGTGATTAGTTTCCTAACAATTAGATGTGCTCATGATTAGTTTCTTAATAGGATGTGTCCGTGATTATAGTTTCCTAATTGACCAGGCATAGATTTTCATATTTTCCTTTGCGGTGGAGTACGGTCAGTCAATGTAAATTGCTAAGTGCACACAAAGAACAGATTCGGTTAAGGCTAGCCGTTAGATTGAGTTTAGTGGGACTAATCATGCGATGGTAATGTATCCGTATACATTTTGTCGGGTGCACTTAGAGAAGATAATGTTTGCTCTTTTAATATTTCAACAGATCAACAGATGGTATAGTGAACCGTATTCCACCAGACTAGGCTGTAGATTCTTTTTCCCCTAGATCACGCATGCCTTCCTTTCCCTCCAGTCTATCGATTACAACTGTTGATTCGACTAGGATTTGTAATTGCACCAGATTTCTTTTTAACGCGTGCTTAATTAATTATTAATGTATAAAACTCCTGTGGAAGATGCCAAAGTTCTTTTTAACACGTGTTTAATTAATTATTAATTATTAATTATTAATACCTAAGTGCATTTATCTTCTAAAAATGTATCCTTCTTAGTAAATCTCTGGACATACAAAGCTCTGGACGCGTCCTCGCTAAAGTTCGACGCTAGCATGCAGAATTTCTGGTGGTACTGCTCACAAATGTGGGGCTCACTCGTCCACCCCCCACCACAAGCTCCTTCCCTGAGATTCTTTATGACTGTAAGGATATTGTACCAAATAAATTAACAAGTTCTGTGTTGAACAGCAGGAAAGTTCTTTATATTGATCTTTAATTTTTTTGCGAGGGATTCTCCATATTGATATAGGCCCATCTTTTAGGGCTCATTTGGTTGCGTGGGTTCCCCCCGGGATCCCCACGTTTTTCCAGGGCCCGAAATCCACATGGAGACCCTCGCCTGGGAAAACAGCCTTCTCATTTGGACGACCCGTTCGATGTGGTGTGCCTGTCCGAACCCTGCCCTTTCCCCGGGAAAAGGTCCCACACCTCCACACTCGTGGAAAATCCTCCCGCCGTTTCCCTCGCGCGATCTGATCTCCGTTGCCTCGCTCTCCCTCCCTCGCCTGTGCCTTCCAACCCTCTCTTCCCCTCCCCTGTACCAACAAATGAGGAGAAGATCTCTCCCGTGGAAAGGAAGGGAATTACGTGTGCTCCTGAAGTTCCCCCGAAGGGATGTAGTACCCTGGGCGTTCTTCCCTGAGTCACCAAACAAAGCCTTAGCGGGAAATAGCCAATGGACCTCGGGTGCCATTGCACCCGAATTAATAAAAAGTTTTAAAATATTTAAAGAGTCAAAAAATATGAATCTGTTTTGTAACAAATCTGACTTAGTGTAATACTAGCGCGACGTGTTATTCTCGACGGGAACAAATATAATTGTACTACGTAAAAGTTACTATTCGCATTTTTTGAACTTGCGATTTTGTCTTCTCTTTTTTGCTGAAGAAACCACGAGAATCATTCTTTCGTGAAACTTTTTACACGAGTAATACATTAGGCCATGTTTACTATAAAAATAATTTAGAAAGTTTTAAGTCTCCTTTTTCTAAAAGTGTTTTTCCAATTCGGGTGCCTGTGTTGTACCGCGTCACAAGCTTGTAGCAGCACTGTGCACTTCAAGCTAAATTCTCCACCCCCCTTGTATCTCCCACTCGCCAGTACTCGTGCAAACACAGTCAGCTAGGCCCTTGCTTTTTCCATTGTGAATTTATATCTCGTTCAATAGTCCAAAAGATTCAAAAGACGCCTCGTCACTCGAGTTAAAATATGTTGCTCAATGCAGATCATCGTTTTTTCATATACAATTTAAGTGCATTAATATGACAATATCACAACTTAAATGGTCGGTCAGAGTATATTTAATCTCAGATGATATGAATGCCATAGGAGTAGTTATATGGCCGGTCAGAGTATGTGAAAGTTGATACTAGGCGTTGAGTGAAAAAGGCCCGCTATCGGGTACATATGACTATTATCTCTAAAGCTCTTCATAGTCGATCATAAGAGGACCGCAATCAAGGATAAAAAGTGTGCATCGGCGATTATACGGGATGTAGCATCTAGTGATGACAGTATCACAATAAATGTGGTGTTGGTTTTCCAAAGATCCTGAATGAAAAAAACTTACCGATCGATACAACAGTAACGTTCTTCATGATTGACTGTAATAGGTCCGCCTACGGGTACATATGGTTTCTATCTCTAAAGTTCTTTGCGGTCGACCATAAGAGAACCGATATCCAAAGGTGTTGGTTTCCCAAGATCCCCAATGAAAAAACTTATTGATCGATAAAATAGGATTACACTTCTTCTTGGTCGAGTGCAAGAGGCCACCTTTGGATACATATGGCTGCTATCTCGAAGTTCTTCGCGATTGATCATAAGGGGACCGCAATCAAGGATAATAAGTGTGCATCGGCGATTATATGAGACGTAGCATCTAGTGATGACAATATCACATTAATTGTGAGGTTGGTTTTCCAAAGATTCCGAACAAAAAAACATACCGATCGATATACAACATTAAAGTTCTTCATGGTTGAATGCAACAGAC